AGCCTGATGAGCACGCACACTGAGAGAAAAGTATACGATATTTGGAACTATAATGATATAGTAACTAAATTATAGTCCGGAATATCATATTTATAATATAGTAAATATTACCATAATAAGTGTCGATAATAATTACGATATAGGCATGGTATAACCAAGCATATAATATTTTTACCAAGAATTATAGTAAGTTAAACTAAAATTATTGTACGGATACAAATATAAAATGGTAGGTAAAGTAACTCTTTTATATAGTCAATATTAGCAGAATATTTGCTGAACGATGACAGATGTAACTATATGAATATTAAATCTCGCTATATTTGTGAATGAGAAATTACCATATATGTGGTAAAAGTAACTGAACAATTATTTAAGACAATCATATATTTGTTTTATTCTATATATTTTGCAGGTTCCATGAACTATAAAAATACAGTTGAACTATAAAAATATAGTAGCCAAAATGAATTATAAAATATAGTGAGATTATAGTTAATTCAAGTATATTTTTCTATCAGTGCAGTAGTGTCGGTAATTCTCATCACCGCGTGATCTTTTGCGCGAATGTTGCTTCCACGTTTTGTAGATCGACAAATCTTCGTAGGTTGCGGATTTTGCGGATCTTGCGCGATTCCCGCGAATTTCATGGATCTGCGAATTTTACAGGTGAAGGTCTCAGGTACTCAAATTCACGCGAGGCTATTCTGACAATCGGGGAACGTTAGACGCTGATTTGTTTCCAATTTTTTATAGTTATTTTTTATGTCAAAATATAAAGAAATCTGTTATCATTTTTAGCTTAAATTAATTTTTTCAATTTTTTTCGAAATTTTTCAAGTTTTGCGCAAGTACACTATACGTATTTAAAACATATTTAAAACAATATTTCTTAAAAATATATATATCTGATTTGTTGAAACTTGCACACACGCCGATTATGAATCAGAACCATTTTGTAAAATAAAAAATGGCGGACCTAATATGGCTGACGTCATTGTTGAAAAAGTGTTCAGTTTTACGCTACATTCGACGTTGGGTAATCTTTCGACTCACTATCCAGCAAACAAGCTCATTTTAACGATTTTCAAAATCTGATAAAAAAGTGAACAAGAAATTAACAAAAGGAGAATGAACGGGAAACTTCAGAAATTTCGAAAAAATTGAAAAAATTAATTTAATCTGAAAATGATAACAGATTTCTTTATATTTTGACATTTTACTGTACTTTATTGTAGCTTCACACCAATCACGGTACTCGCAGGAGCAGCGGGCTAATTTTTACAACATTCGGATATCCGGGACACCGAGGAGCATCCTAAAAGGGACGGTCTCGGCGGGTGCTCGAAAACTCAAAGTTATCGATACCGCTGTCTTGTCACAATTATCGACCGTGCGACCGTGCGTACCGGACGACGTTAGCCGAAAGTCACGTGAAATTGGTCGCAGGGAGAGGAGTGACTCGAGATAGGATCGCGCCACCACATGCCGTGCTGATAAACGCCGGTAGATTATGTTAATGCAAACGGAGTTACTTGGGGCGGATATAGCGCGCGGCGTGTTGATAATGGCAATCGGGCGTCGTCGTTGGCGCGACGCTTCCGCGTCGAGAGCGGGAACGTGCCAATGTAAGCGTAATTTAAGCGAAGTAACGTGAACGCCGCCGTTAACACGATAGGCAAGGCCGCGCCATGCTAATCGACGTCACAAAACCGTCGTGCGGAAGCGAGGGTGCGGCGTTAATTGGACATTATCGCGGATTAATCGATGGCCTTCCCGGGCCATGTAAAGTGCGATGGTGTAAGAGAGAGAGAGAGAGAGAGAGAGAGAGGGTCCCAGCGAACGACCGGTAAAAAATTATCGTCGGATACGATCGGACTTCTGACGAACGGGAGGCTCGATTTAAAATCAGTGGGATCGAAGTCTTCAGGTTCGTTTCCAAGCGTCGCCGGAGGTTTAAACCATTTTACTTCACGCACGAGAGAGGAAACAGCCTCCTCGGTGTAACCGAATTGTCTCCGTTGTCTGGGAACGGCAAATTCGTTTGTAGGAGCGGCAAGGTTCCTGTCCTGTCGCGGGGGTTCCACTCGCGGTCAATTGCTCTCACTTGCCTCAAGCGAGTTTTAATACAGTCGTGTGTCCGGGCGAATGTTGCCGGTCGCGGTATAACGGGGATAACTCGCCCCTCGTCAGCCAGAAAGTCTTCGTCTGGTCGCAATTCAGTTATACTAAGAACTAAGCTTCTTCTCCCGTTGTATCTCGGCGTTGTATCATGTCGCATTAGTCTCGGGAGAACGTATCTCGTCTGTATCTCCTACACACGTAGGTCGTCCAGGTATTGTTTCTACTCATCGCGTTATACTCAAAATATACACCCAAAAGATATTTGAGATTTATTAGATTTATTAGATATAATATTATCTATTCTGTCTTCTATAATATTATCTATTCTGTATTATATATTCTGTCTTCCTCTTACTTACAAGAGGATTTCCTCTTCCATTAATTAATATTCCTCTTGTATGAAGAGGAATATGTTGGCTTAAATATCGACTTCTTTTATTCAATTAAATATTCGGTCAAATACTATATAGTTTATAATCTACTGCAAGAAGTCAAGAATAATATATTCTTTCTTTTATACAATTGGTTATGATGAACATCTTTGTAGCTATAAAGTCCATAACAAAACTGATTGGAAATTTATTTGTTATGATGGTCTTGTTTCATTCGTGCCTACTTATTGTAGAACTATTGTAGAAGAGCCAGAAGTACATCCATATATATATATATATATATATATTACTTTTCGCTATACATTATATAATAATTTTTTCAAATTAACTAGTATAACCAGTAAGAGTAAAATACAGTAAGAATAAATAGTAATCCTCTTAAAAAAAGATTAAATAATCTATGCACAAGAGGAAATTTATATTAAATCAATAAAATTTGCATTATGCATATAACATATAATCCCTCTGACTTTAGGAATAATGTGTTTATATAATATTTTCCTCTTAATCTTGGAGGAATCCTCTAAAATTTAGATGATTCCGCTTGTTCTGAAATTATGTCTTTTGGATGTATATTATTTAAAAGTGTACAAAAATATAAGGCGAGTAGTAATATTTTTACAATTCAATGTTTTCTGTAATTTGACTTTGTAACTCTTGATCGATATCTCTTTAGTTTTTCCGCGGAACTTTTGGTTTAGAGATACACGTGTCCGTGCTGTCTCAACTTCAAAAGTGGACATTCGCGACGATTTGCAAGGGAATAATGCAGATTTTAACGTCTCGCAGCTGGACTCATATCGTCGAACGGGAGAATCGCGGAGTAATGACGTTATCGCCGGTTTGCGAAAAAAAAGAAACAGAAGCGGGTTTTGGCCGCTCATTCGCCCGCGGCGTAACTTAAATTGCCGCTAACGATCCCGACGAATGTTTATGACGTTCGCTAATTTAGATTGAATTGTCGAGATGCAATTATAAGATCTTGCCCGCTGTGAGCAATTCGGAATGAGTTTCTCTTCTCGCGCAAGACCGTGATATTTCAGATTTCTTGCGCAAGACGTTTTCATTAACGCCGCCGTGATTACTCGTAATTATACGGAGGAGTTTACGTCACGTACTTGATAAGTTCACCTTATGTAACTCGTTGGTTAACCGCGCACTTTTCCCGATGACTCTCACTGGCGCGACAGGCATGGAAAAATAAAGCTATTCCGGAAAGCTGTTTTATCGTCGATTGCATTTTATCTTTATTCCAAAGACGCGTATTACGTGCAACATGTCGCGAGAGAGAGACACGCGATGAGTTTCTCTCTCTCTTCTCCTCTCTCTCGCGACATGTTGCACGTAATACGCGTCTTTGGAATAAAGATAAAATGCAATCGACGATAAAATAGCTTTCCGGAAATTAACCTTTCGGGATCTCGATGGATGATAGACCAACCACTTGTTTGATCTCACGCGAGAGCCATATCGCTTACTTAATTTTCATCGGTTATCTAGCCAACATGGAATTATTCATCAAACCGATAAAAATTCCACGAAAACACGCTCTAACGCAAGGAACAAGGGAATTCTCGGCCTGTGTGAGGTCGGAGTGAGACAGAGTGCATATGAAATCATTTTTCCCCGGCCGGTTATCACCGGCTCGAGAAGAGAAGACAGCAAGTGACACGGCCGTCCAGATCCACTCGGCATCGAAGGAACACGCTCCCGCAGGAGATTCGCTTCGCGTCGTCCAGGAAAATTGCACCTGACAACGACAGCGTGACCGACCCTTCTCTCCTCCTCCCCCTCGCCGCTTCCTACTTCCTCCTCCCCTTCTTCTTCTTCTTCTTCTTCTTCTTCTTCTTCTTCTTCTTCTTTTCGTATAGTTTATCTAAGAAAGCGACGTTTCACGCTCGATTTGTCCACGGCCGTTCTCGGAGGACCCACTCACGAAAATCAACCTGCACGGTTCGTCCCGGGAGATATAAAGTAGAAGCTTGTTTTACCAGCAAATCGTGGGACAGTTTTTCCTCCGCTTGATCCACGAAAGGTTTGCTCCGGCTGCTCTCTCTCTCTCTCTCTCTCTGAGCTCCTTTTTTGCGCCGGTCCGGCCCGACGAAGCATCGAGGAGCATGATCCCGTTGTTACGTAATCTATATCGCGTGTATATACGACTCCCCCTCCTTCTCCCCGCCTCTTTATCCGGAACATTATGTGCGCTGATGTTTCTTTATCCGGCTGTGCCCAGCGAATGGAGCCACTTGCTAACTTCGGAAACGATCAGCTCCGTTTGCTCTTCGGCTCGTTCTCGCGCGATGCTGTCGAGTTCCGTTAAAGGGAAAGGGGAGACATTTTGGATCAACGCCGACGGAAAAGAGAGAGCGACGACGTAGAAATTATTTACGCCGGACGGAGTGAAATATTTCGGTATTTCATTCCGTTCGGATGCGCGAGATATCCGTGACATTTATGATAATTGTGCTTCTCTTTTTGTTTCAGACTCGAGCTCTTGCCGGCAGGCGTTCTGCATCGGGCTCTGCAATCTCCAAGTTTTCAGGTAATGGAATTAATTAAATATATAGGAAATGCGTAAAGTGTCGGAGGTAGAAAATGTCGCAGTAAAAGCGCGCGGATACTCGTGTCGAGAGATCCCCACTTCATAATGATGATGATAATAATAATAATAACAATAACAATTCACTTGATTAGAAGCTAATGATATCGCGGGGTGAATGCAATCAGCGCTAGATAATTCCGCGTAGGCAAATTAGCCGTTGACAGCTCGTCGGACGGGAGACGAGTGTGTTCGTTCCCTTCGCAACAAAACCTAGCAAAGCGAACGTTCGCTCTTCTCCTCGAGATTGAGAATCGATCTGAATCGGCGGGATCGCGTCGGAATGACAGGCCGATTCGCCCGGCCAGCCGGCGCGAATTTTCTGATCGCAAATTTGATCGCGCAGATCAGGCAGAATGTTCCTCGCCGGAAAATCACGCATGGTTGGTCGCGAATCAAGACGCAGCGGGCTGCGTCGACGAGTGCGAATGCCTAGGATGCATTAGAATATGCCGCGAGGGCACGGTAGAGCGCGCGCGTGTGTCTGAGGATTTCAATTTAGAAAATTGTGCCGCCGCCCCCCCCCGCCCCCCGCGACCGCGACGCGCGCTCTCATCAGACCTGATGGACGGTTGTTTTATTGTATTTTATTTTGCGGTAATTTTGCAGCTAGTTTTGCACACTAGTATCTCCGCCAAGCGGCAGACTTTCGGAGACCGTTGCCGCGCGCGCGCGCGCGTATTTACGAAATGAATATTTCATCTCTGCCGCATTGAGTCGTCGACAGGACGACGATCCGTCGTTTGCGGTGCGATTCGCTCGATGAAGTCGAAATTTACTCTGCGCTGCCGATGCTTTACGAAACGTGTTCACAACGATTGGGAGAAAAGGCGGTCGCTTAAATCCCGAGTGAAATTCAAATTCGTTCCCGCTTTACGGGTTGTTATCGCTACCTTTTCAGGGTTAAGACTTTCGCGATGAGGAATGACTGAAAATTAAGCCGAGTTTACGCTCCACTCGGACGCACTCGAGTTAAGATTTCATCGACATTGGTGGAAACGACATTGGCGTAAAAGTTCCTCTCGCGCCATCTTTCCAAGCTTCACTCTCATCCGGGCGAGTTGGGCCCTTTCTTAATATTATACAGGGTGTCTTAAAAATACCGGGACCCCCGGATAACTTTGCAGGATCAAGTTTTCATGAGACACTTTAAATATAAAAGTTATAGTTAGTCTCAAGAATATATTGTTACGATAGTGTCCTGATTTTGGTTAATTTGATGATTTTGAAATTTCCAAAAGTCAGTAAGTTGACAAAAGTCAGGGCGCTATTGTGACAATATATTCTTGAGACTAAATAAAGCAAGAGAGTCTAGTATCACTTTTTCTTTCTACAAATAGTTAGCAAGATATCGTAAGTTAAATAATGAAAAAGTTACCAAGTTTTCCTCAAATATCTCAAAAAACGTTGGGCAAGTAAAAACAATGTTTTAAACAAAAGTTGTTCAAATTAATTGGTAGAAAAAAAAGCAGTGTAATAAAAAGTAAGGATTCCCGTTTAAAAAACGCAAGTTGACCTTCAAATGACCTTGAAGGTCATGGCCAAGGTCACCATCAAGTCCGTTACTCGATTTTCTGCAACTTTTGTACTTAAAGTTTTTCATGAAAACCTGATCCTGCAAAGTTATCCGGGGGTTCCGGTATTTCTAAGACACCCTGTATATTAAGAATGAAATTCATACTTTGGTTCTCTCAGTCCGAGACTGAATGAGGCTCTGTTTATACTCCTTAATATTACTTCAATATTAAAACATTATCAAAACCAACGAACCTGCTTTACGTGTTTTCATCTCCCCCCCCTTCCACCCGACTGCTTCATAAATATAGCTCGGCCAAATGAGGCTCGAGGAAACCCCCGAGTGCTTCTCCAGGAATCTGTCCTTAAGATATTCTTCGCTCGGTTCCTCGATTGCGTAAGCGCAATCCAAGCCGGCCGAGCGAGAACGCGAGAAGATCGAGCGCTCCGCGTGTTATTAATGAGGAACCTCGTGTTCCTCGTGCCTTCCGACATGCTCCTCGAGGCCGCCCACGGGGAAGATGCGGCGGCGATTCGTTCGCGCCGTCGGCGTGAGAGTGAATGCCCCCTGGCAGCGAGGTCTGCCCGCTTCATAGTTGTCCAACTCGCCCTTCCGTGAGCGCGGCTGTTCGCTCGTCCGATAAGCATTCCGGCGTGGCTCGAAAATTAATGGCCTTCAGCCACGAGGCTTGACGGCACTATTGACACCGCAAACCGGGCACGAAGTTGCGCGAGGCTCTCGCGTGCGCGCGAAAATAATTAAACTCGGGAGCGGGTCGCGCCGCCGCGCCGCCGGCGGTCGATATCTTCCGCGTTTTGCGTTAGCCGTGATCAGAATCCTCAACAATCCTCGTCGTTGAATGCGGGGTGACAGTTGCTCGATTGTTTGGTCGTAACAATCGGCTGGCGGGCTGATTCAATTCTAAGGATGTAAGTGGGAAACGATGTCGGCTCCCCTACACCCCTTCGGTCGTCCCGACTCGGGCTTTCTTCGGACGAAGATCCCAGTTGAAGCCCGATTGTCAGGATAACAGCGCCTTCTGCCCTCCTCTCTCCTCTGTTTCTCGATCGCTCGGCTATAGCGTTGCTCTTTCGCAGATGACACGCGGAGTGTCTCACCCGTGGGGATCCGCGAGTCTCTGGGGATTACGCGCACAATGGTCGCGAGAAATGACTACCAGAAACTACGAAAAACTTGCTTGATATTCGTGAAGAAAATCAAATTCGTCTCAATCTCGCTTAGTTGCGCGAGATTATTATTGTGCCCGAAAAGAAATATTCTATTTGTAAAGTGATTTTTCCCACTGCCTCATGTTCTAAGCGAAGCCTCTTACAGGAGAAGAATTCTCCTTTTGATAAAGCGATTAAAGTGGACCGTTCATCTGAAATTTATTAGATATTGTTCCAACTGTATCCCTCTTATTTCAAGAGGATTTCCTCTTCCATCAATTAATTTTCCTCTTGTACGAAGGGGAACACGTTGACTTGAATGTCGGCTTCTTTTGGTTAGTCCTGCTCTACCTCCAGACATGAACGAAAAAATAACCATACGTTTATGGGTCAGAATGTTTGGAACGCTATTTTGAAAAAGGTATGTGTGTTGCTGCATAACATATGGCATAACGAAGATAATTCATCCATATTCGGTCAAATACAGTTTATAATCTATTGCAAGAAGTCGGATAATATATTCTTTCTTTTAACTATGTTTCATATTCGATTGGTTATGATGAACATCTTTGTAGCTATGAAGTCCATAACAAAACTGATTGGTTTGTTTGTTACGATGATCTTATTTGATTCGTACCTACTTATTGTAGAACTGGAGCCAGAAGTACATCCATATATAAGAATAAAATCCTCTAAAATTTAGATGATTCCGCTTGTTCTGAAATTACTTTTTTTTCGGGTGATTCAGTCCGTAAGAATCGCGGTAATTGAAGTTTAAGGACGTAAGTGGGAGACGCGACGTCGACTCGTTCGGTCGACTTGGATCGGGTCGACAAGAATCCAGCTCCAGAAGTTCGATCGTCAGGGTAATCGCTGCTCTGACCGCCGAGTTTTCAGAGCGGTCTCTCGTCGACAAGCTTCGTAGTCGCTGAGGCTCGCCTCCTCGAATTCGTCGTAGTAGAATTTGCGGTCGGAAGGATACGCTTTGAGTGAGATCAAACCCGGCGCTAACCGAACAAGTCGACATCCGCAAATTGTTCCCCCGGTCCCGAGGAACACGAGGGGAGGGGGGATCGGCGGGGGGGACTTGCTTTAACGAGGCGCTCGCTTCTCAAGGCGGAGAGCGGAACGCTAGCTATCGACACTTGCAGCTTTCGCCGCAACTAATGGCATGAACCACTTGTTGAAAGCGAATCCGCCCCCGAAACGCTCGACGAGACCCTCGCGGCTGCAGCCTTCGACTTTGGCTCCATTTTTTCTTCGCAGATGGCGAAACCGCTTATCGGCAAGATCGCGCCGCGCGCAGTCTTCGATCGAACGAACGCTTCCGCGTTTATATTCAGCAAAATCGCTCTCATATCGGCGCTCGCGCCGATCTCATCTTGTCCAGTTTGGACGAGTTTAGACCTGCGTTGTTCCGAGGAAGAAAAATGTGTCAAAGTCCACAAAGTGGAGCAACTTTCCGTGAGAAGCCGCAACGGCGCACAGATAACAGTGGGGCCAGATAACATTTTTTGGTTGAAAATTCTTTAGAGACCTGCATTTCCAACCGATCGTCGACACCAATGGATGAGGTTGATCCTGAACAAATTCCAAAGAGATCTGTCTAGCGGAAATTTTGAAAAAAATTATCGTTCAGGGTTCATGGGTTGAGGGTTTGTCTTAAAAGTTTATCGTTTAAAGCACAGTGTCTTGGGTTCGACCTCAATGGGTTCGAGCCTACGGATGGACTAAATGCGAGACCCCAGAACTTACAATCACCTTTGAGAAAACTCAGAATTTCAAAGCTCATCCTTTCAGCCCACATTAAGAAAGAATTAAGGATCAAAATCCCTCGGTTTTGTGCTTAACGGGTCTATATTTGATGTTTTTATTGATTTTGGGCATATGGGTTTTGGGTTAATGGATTTCTGGTTCAAGATCGATAAATCTCGAGGTGTCTGGTTGATTGGTTTCATAGTTTCAATCCGCTGAATATGCTATTAGATAGAAATAAGTGTCGAATAATGAGTATTTCACAAGTTTCTCGCGTTTAACGATAATTTTTCCTCTCTTGGGGCTAGTAATTTGAGAAAAAAAATTTTTTTTTAATTTTGGCAAGACAGATATCTCTTCGGAATTTATTCAGGATCAACCTCCAAATCCATTGATGTCGATGATCGGTTGGAAATTCAGGTCTCTAGAGAATTTTGAATCAAAGAATGTCATCTGGCCCCACCACCCTGCGGCAGCACGATGATCTCTCGAAATGCAATTTG